AGATTTTATGTTCTGTTGGGTGGTGAATATTCCTTGAGCTTCCAGATGTTTCATATGAGTAACTACAAAAGCAACAAAAAAAACCCAACCAAATAAAGATAACTACTACACAAACAAGAGAGAAAATGGGAAAAAAACTGAATGAGAAAACGCTTTTCTAATTCAAATTGTTGTTCCAGCTATTTAAGAAACGGGGAGGAAATCCGAAACAAATTAATGTTCACCCCCAACAGGACGAACACCAGACATGAAAACGATTCAAAAACAAACCAAGTTCCATAACACCACACGGTTAAGAGTTCAAACCCGCCAAGGGAAATTCCTTGATCGCAGCCAAGCATGATACCAAGGGTGTGCACTGTGCACGATCAGCAACGTCTTTCACAACAATGTGTAGTTTAGAAAACAGTAGTACCTCACAGCTTCTAACACAACACAGAAGCGCAAGACATAAGGGGGCAACAAAACAACGGTAATAAAAGAACATTTCTAACCCCCCTCCCTCCCTCCTTCCCTCCCTCCCTCCCTCCCCAAACCGCCCTTTTAGTAAGAGTTTTACGGCACTCGCAACACAATAAGTTCATAATATAGGTGCCGAAGAATAGATTCCGTTTGATAGGAAAGAATGAGCAAACCACACCAGAGCACCTTTCAAAACTAAAAGCGACCCACATGTGGCCGTGACTAAGAGTATTGAGACTCCGTATTCGCATGCTACAGGTCAAGCAAGCTCCAAATGGACGGCTAAATTCAACGATCGCAATTCATGTAAGTCCTTCGAGGCATAGAATACTACTTGAAAGCTTGAAGAAATGCGTTGAGCGTTTGAAGAGAGTGAAAGCAAATATCCACTCAACAGAAAAGCTTTGCGGGGGGTGCTGTTGTGCAATATGCTAATTGAGAGCGCTGAGGGAAAAACAATGTCCTACGTAGGACGCCCCGTTGCTTTTTAAAAATTTTATTTTGTTGTTAAATTCAGTGACAATCTTGTGTTGTTGTTGGTAGTGGGGTTGATTACTCGCCCTAAAGCTTTTTGTTCTCTTTTCAAAACGAAACTACTAAGAATGTTTCATGATGTTTATATTCAGTTTAAAATTTTGGCTTAGTTTTGTTTTAAAATGTAGGTGTTTTAAG